TTTTTTATTCTTATCTCATTTTTTATTTGATGAAATGCGAAGATTTCTAATGGGAGTCTGCTGGTTTTATTTGTGCAGTTTTTCAGAACCACAACCGAGCTACTCAGCTTATCGTGAAGCAAGTTTTGGTCATGTAATTCTTGAAATTAAGAACAGGACTCATGCCTATTACACTTGGCATCGCAACCAAGACAGTGAACCTGTTGCAGCAGATTCTTTATGGATTTAAATAGATACTATTATCCTAAAAAGGAGAACAGCTCTATGATCTGAAAAGAATATATTTGGTAGACAGTGCACTACTTATTTTCATAGAAACCATGTGTTCTCTTAGATTTGTTCATCAGGTTTTTTTGTTAACTGTTTATTTTAAGCTTCATTTTAATGATAATATCTACGATTAGGTACCTTAAACAGTGGTTGTGATTAAAAACCATTGTCAATAGCAGTATTGAGTTTATCCTAAGACTTCCTCCATTTAACTGGACAAATGGACATTTAACTTCATGGATTGTCTTCTCTTCCAATATGTCAAACAGATTTTTTTTACACAGTTTCAGTTAGTAGTGGGTCACTGTCAGATTTTCATCTAAGGTTTTGACATATTCATTACAAATTCCGCTCGTCTTCTCCGGCAAAGTTGATACTACTTGCTGCCCCTTTTTCATCGGCAGTTTTTCTCCGGCGTAATTGAGTTCTGCCACACCACAGGTTTTTCCGGCGAATTGTGAAATATCTCAAACGCTAAATCATAATTAAGCTTCTTCATCTTGGAAATTGTGATAATTTTTAACCAGAAATAGAGTTGGTAACTCGGCTTTTCTTTGACGGCGAAAGACGTGATCTTGCTTCTTTCCTTCTCTTTCTCCGGCGAACCAATCGCCGTCCATTCCTTTCTCCGGCGAAATCCAGTTGTTCCATTGTCAGAGGTAAAGTTGCAAGTATTGCCAAATCGTACCAACGTCTTTGGTCTAATTACGACAAATACTTTCCTGTCGGTGCGGCTACCGGTACAGAAGGTACAATACAACAAAGTACTGCAACTCGCTCAGAATCGAAGACGTGGGTTCCTCTGATTCATAGCAATCAATTTCAATTTTCGTCTCAGAAACTTTTTCAATCACATTGGGAAAAGATTTCTCAGTTGGTCTAAATTTCAGAGAAAGCACAAAAATATTCGAAGTTTCTCCTTCCTATTTGAACAAGGAATACATAGAGTATTGCTTCAGCTCGTCGCAACCCATCACCACCGGCCAAAGTTCTGTTAACTTCAAGAGCTGCAATCCAGGTTCTATTGTTCCGCTCTTGTGTGAATATTTTAATAGTTTGATATACTTAGCGTAATTATATCTCCTTGCCTGCCTATTTTGTTCTTGAATCTTTAGTTAGTAATTTCCCTACCATTGTCAAAATTAATTACATTAGTGATAACTTTTATATTGTTATCAACCTGTTTACATATTTATTGTGAATCATTATTTCAAATATCCCTTAGTAGTTCTGTTCTAGTTCTGCACATTTTTTTTGTGACCTTTAATTGTAGATTATAGCCCCCTTTAGCTCTTGTATTGTATTTTTTCATCTGTCTTTCTATCCCTTAGTTGGAGATTATAGTTCCTTTAGTGCCTTTGTTTTATTTATTTACCTGCTTTTCTGACCTTTAGTTGTAGATTATAGTTCCCGTTAGTTCCTTTGTTTTATTTCTTCACTTGTTTTACGACCTTTAGTGGTAGATTATATTTCGATAGTTCATGTTATTTTTGTCGCTTGATTTCGGGATAGTGCTTGCATAGTGACTCCTAGATTATAAATGGATTTGGTGAACGATGGTAGGGTAAGGTCTTGTCCTCGGGGGTGTCAGCGTGGGGGGAGGGGGTAAGGAGGGTAAGAGGGCTAAGAGAGCTACTAGACTGAGAGTAGGGTCTTGGAACATAGGAACTTTGACTGGAAAATCTGTAGAGTTAGCGAAGATTCTCGAAAAAAGGAAGATTAGTATAGCTTGTGTAGAGGAGACTAGGTGGGCAGGAGATAAGGCGCGAGATGTGGGCAGTTTCAAACTTTGGTATTCTGCGAGGGTGGGGGGCAGGAACGGGGTAGGTATAGTGGTTGATAAGGAGCTCCGTGAACTAGTGGTAGAGGTTAGGAGGGTGAATGACAGGCTGATGATTATTAAGCTAGTTGTTGGAGGTTTTACTTTGAACATAATCAGTGCGTACGCACCCCAAGCATGCTTGGATGAGGAAGTCAAGAGGCGGTTCTGGGAGAATTTGGATGAGATGGTGTGTGGTATCCCACATACCGAGAAGCTTTTTATAGGAGGAGATTTCAACAACCACATTGGAGCGTCGTCTGGGGGTATGATGATGTGCATGGTGGCTTTAATTTTGGAGATAGATCGGAGGAGGAACGTCTCTACTGGGAGTTGCTAGAGCAATTGATTTGGTGATAGCAAACTCGAGTTTCCCGAAGAAGAGGGAGAACTTGGTAACCTTCCGGAGTTCGGTGGCCGAGACTCAGATTGATTATTTACTCTGCAGGAAGTCCGATAGAGGACTTTGCACGGATTGCAAGATCATCCCGAGTGAGAACATCTCGACCCTTCAAAGGCTCCTGGTCATGGACCTTGAGATCACGAGGAAGAGAAGGAAGAGGGCAATATATAGTCAACATAGGATCAAGTGGGGAGCCTTGACGGAAGCTAAAGCGCAGGAATCAGGGGTCAAGCTAGTGACTATGGGGACTTGGGGGAGTAGTGGGGATGCAAGCGCTATGTGGACCATGACTGTGCAGTGCATTAGGGAAGCCGCGAGAGAGGTATTAGGGGGTCTCAAAGGGTTACTCTGGTGATCACAAGGGAGACTGGTGGTGGAATGGAGAGGTGCAAGGAAAAGTGAAAACCAAGAAAGCAGCGTATCTGAAGCTAGTGGAAAGTGTAGACGAAGAGGAGAAGAGAGCGAGTAGAGAGCATTATAAGTTGGCTAAGAAAGAGGCAAAGCTAGCAGTTATGGCGGCCAAAGCTGCAGCTTTTAGTCGTTTGTATGAGGAACTCGAGGGCCGAGGTGGGGATAAGAGGTTATTCAGGTTAGCCAAGGCGCAAGAAAGGAAGGCGCGTGACTTGGACCAAGTAAAGTGCATCAAGGACGAAGAAAGTAAAGTTATGTTGGATGATGGGCTTATCCTTCGGAGATGGCAGACCTACTTCAATAGTCTCTTGAACGAGGAGGGGGACATGAGCATTGTACTAGGTGATTTGGAACTATCTGGGAGTCATTATGACTTTGGGTATTATAGACGGATTAGAGTTGATGAAGTTAAGGGGGCTATGCGTAAGATGAGCAGGGGCAAAGCGACCGGGATGGATGAAATCCCGGTGGAGTTTTGGAAGAGTGCGGGTAAGGCAGGCTTGGAGTGGCTCATCAAGATATTTAATGTCATTTTTAGAATGAAGAAGATGCCCGAAGAGTGGAGGTGGAGCACGATAGTTCCTGTATAAAAGAACAAGAGTGATATCCAAAACTGCAATAACTATCGGGGTATCAAGTTGCTTAGCCATACTATGAAAGTCTAGGAGAGAATGGTAGAGCTAAGGATGAAGAGGAGTGTGTCTCTTTCCAAGAACCAGTTTGAGTTTATGACGGGAAGTTTGACTACATAAGCCATCCACATTATTAGGAGATTGATGGAGCAGTATGGGGAGAGAAAGAATAACTTGCATATGGTGTTCATCGACTTAGAAAAGGCGTACGATAAAGTTCCGAGGAAATTTTATGGAGATGTTTGGAAGCTAGAGGTATACATGTTGCCTACGTTAGGTTTATTAAGGACATGTATGATAGAATAAAGACCCGAGTGAGGACGGTAGGTTGGGACTCGAACCATTTTCCGGTTATGATGTGGTTGCATCAGGGGTCGGCACTCAGCCTTTTTTTGTTTGCTCTGGTGATAGACGTACTGATGCGCCACATCAAAGGGGAGGTGTCGTGGTGCATATTATTTGCAGATGATATTGTATTATTTGACGAGACGTGAGACGGTGTGAATGCGTAATTAGAGTTATGGAGGAAGACCTTGGAATCTAAAGGTTTCAAGTTGAGCAGGACCAAGACAGAATATTTGGAGTATAAGTTCAGTGGCGAAACTCAAGGAGGGCAAGGAGAGGTCAGACTCACAGGTCATCCCTAGGAGAGGGAGTTTTAACTACCTTGGGTCTATTATTTAGGGGGATGTGGAGATTGATGAAATATCACACATCGTATTGGGGCGGGATGGATGAAATAGTGACTCGCTTCCGGTGTTTTGTGTGACAAGAAGATGCCACCAAAACTTAAGGGTAAGTTCTATAGAGTGGTGATCAGACCAACGATGTTGTATGGGGCTGAGTATTGGCCAGTCAAGATCTCTCATGTTCAGAAGATGAAGGTAACAAAGATGAGGATGTTGAGATGGATGTGGGGCACACCAGGTTAGATAGGATCAGAAATGAGGTTATTCGCGACAAAGTGGGTGTGGCCCCTATTGAGGATAAGATGCGGGAAACGCGACTTAGGTGGTTTGGTCATGCGAGGAGGAGGAGCACAGACGCCCCGGTAAGGAGGTGTGAGAGGTTGACATTGGAGGGCCTACGGAGAGGTAGAGGTAGACCAAAAAAAAGGTAAAGAGACGTGATTAGGCAAGACATTGCGAAACTTCAGCTGACCAAGGACATGACCCTTGATAGGAAGGTATAGAGGTCGAAAATTAGGGTAGTAGAGTAGGTAGTCTAGAGTGTTCATAATAATAGTATGGGCACGCAGTCTCGCTTTCTGTTGGTAGTAGGCTTCTGTTATTTTCTTTCATTGTTGCCCACCTTACTATCTTGTTGTTTTATCCTGCTTTTATATGGCTGTTTGATATTGTTCCTTCTTGCCTATATTTTCATTAATATGGTTCTTATACTTTCCGGAGCCGAGGGTCTATTGGAAACAACCTCTCTATCCTCACAAGGTAGGGTAAGGTCTGCGTACACAATACTTTTCCCAGACCCCACGGTGTGGGATAATACTGGGTCTGTAGTTTCAGTTAGTAGTGCACATTAACACGAAATAGTATGTTTTAGAACATTCTGACCGCGCTTACCACAAATAAGTACATTTCAAAGTCAGAAGACATGCATGTTGACATAATCAATTAAAGAGTAAAATATAAAATTTTGAAGCACTTGCTTTATATTTTAATGAAATCATATCTAAAATTGAATAACATCGAAATATGAAATCATAATAGAGGTGTACTTATGGGACAATAGAGGTAGCATCTTGTTACAGATGGTTTCTGCAATTCTCTGTCTGCTACTATTCTCAGTAAACTTAATGCTATGTTTGGCATTGGATAAGATATCTGAACATCAACAACTTCAAGATGATCAAACTATCGTATCAGCAGGAGGTATCTTTGAACTTGGCTTCTTTAGTTTTAATGAATCAGATGCACGATATGTTGGAATATGCTACGAGGAACTCCCAGCCGAAAAGGTTGTATGGGTAGCAAATGCTGGAACTCCTCTGAATGATACATCTGGAGTTCTTATGATCGGAAATGATGGTAATTTGGTCATTGTTGGTGGTAATAAAACCAAAGTAATTTGGTCCACTGAAGTTGCCTTCACATCCAATCACACTGGTGCAGTGCTTCATGATTCAGGAAATCTTGTTCTTATGGAGAACAAATTGAATGGGGTAGTATTGTGGGCAGTGGCGGATCCAGAATTTTCATCAAGAGGTGTTAAAATATAAATAATTAGATACATCGAAAAGTTAAGGGGAGTCAACGTCTAGTAAATATACATAAAATAAAAAAATATTATCTAGCAAAATAGTGTAATTTTCCGGCGAATGGATGTCAATGTGGCTCCGCCACTGATTGTGGGGGAGTTTCAATCATTTATCGGACACTTATTTGCCTCAAATGAAGTTGGGACTGAATAACATAACAAGCGAAAAAACATACTTAAGGTCTTGGAAGAGTGCACTTCAGGATGTGGGAAAGGCTTTAAAGACATGACAAAGAGGAGAAAAAGAATGATAATTTCGTTAGATTCTGTAGCAGGTACCTTGTTGGGAATGGAAAAAATCCAGAAGTTCCATTTTTCAACTTGCATACAATAGAAGCTGCTATGGATCGCTTCTCCAATGCAAATAAACTTGGACAAGGAGGATTTGGTCCAGTTTACAAGGTATGACATGTTATTCAGTTTCAAAGTAACATAGCTAAACCAGCGTTTCTCTTCAGTAATGTTACTGTGGCAAATTATATTATGCATATTAGGGAAACTTACCAGATGGACAAGAGATTGCTGTTAAAAGACTTTCACGACAAGGCATAGAGGAGTTTAAGAATGAAGTCATATTAATTTCTGAACTCCAACATCAAAACCTGGTCAGGTTACTAGGATTTTGCATCCAAGGGGAGGAGAAGTTGCTGGTAGCCCAACAAAAGCTTGGACTCTTTCATTTTTGGTTTGTTCTTTGATATTGATTCTTCAGCTTTAGTATCCTGCTATTAGAGATTTTAAGCAGCAAAAGGAGCACCATCTTTTATCGCTATGAAGGATCTTTCAGGCCATGTAAGCATACTAACAAAAGAAAATTATCTGCTTTATCTTTTCCTACTTACATGTAAGAAAATTTCACAGGCATGGCAGTTGTGGAATGAGGGAAAGGCAATCGAGTTTTTACATCCAACATTGGGTAACTCATACAATCAAATGCAAGTTAGTAGATGTCTAAATATTGGCCTCCCATATGTCCAAGATCATCCAGATGATCGGCCTATTATGGCAACAATAGTTTCAATGATTTACAGTGAGGTGATCTTACCATCTCCGGAATGAATCAAGTTTATCATGACGGGGTCCACACCCATTAATAGAAAAAAAAAAGAAAAGAAAGGGAATTGAACCAATCTGCACTGCAGATTGTATTGTCCAAGTTGTAAAGTGAGATTCAATCTTCCGATTGGTTAATTGGGGCAGCCATCCTCTCTATATAAGGAGAGCTTCAGTTCTCATTTTATACACCAATCTCAGAGGAAAAATATATATGAGAGTTAGAAAGAAAGAGTGAGATTTCACAGACAGGGTACAAAAAAATAGTCTGTGAGAAAAATAGAGAGTGAGCGATATTGTAGTGAGGTGCGAATATCAAAAGAGGGTTATTTCTTTTAAGTGTTGTAGTGATCTTTGGAGTATTTTACTCGGACCTATAAAGTGTAAAATTCCTTGCTATAGTGATACTGGTTGCTCATCTCGGGGCCATGGTTTTTCCCTTATTCAAAAGGGTTTTCCACGTAAAAATCTTGGTGTCGTTGTCACTCTTTTATTCTTGTTAATTATCGTATCTCAGTGCTACGTTATTATTACGATTTTATTACCGTGAATATTATTTTTGTGGGGGTTTATTCCCAACAACTAGCATCAGAGCATAGGTTCTGCTCGCTCACAAAAGTATTATTCACTGTCGGTAGTACTATACTCGATGAAAACAAAATGTCCAGAGTAAAGTACGAGGTAGCAAAATTCAACGGAGATAATGGTTTCTCAACATGGCAAATAAGGATGAGGGATCTGCTCATTCCACAAGGATTACACAAGGTACTAGATGATAATGTCAAAAAGCGTGATACCATGAAAGCTGAGGATTTGGCTGAGTTGGATGAAAGGGCTGCTAGTGCAATCAGGTTACACTTATCGGATGATGTGGTAAATAACATAATTGATGAAGACACCGCACATGGCATTTGGACAAGGTTAGAAAGCCTATACATGTCCAAAATGCTGACAAATAAATTGTACCTGAAGAAAAAGCTATACGCCCTACACATGGGTGAAGGTATGAATTTTTTGTCATATTTAAATGTGTTTAACGGACTAATCACACAGCTCACCAACCTCAGAGTGAAAATCGAAAAAGAAGATAAAGCCATCTTACTATTGAACTTGTTGCCATCTTCGTACGATAATTTGGCAACAACCTTCCTGCACAGTAAGACTACCATTGAGTTGAAAGACGTCACATCGGCTTTTCTACTCAATGAGAAAATGAGAAAGAAGCCTGAAAATTAAGGACATGCTCTCATCACAGAAGGTAGAGGCAGGAGTTATCAAAGTAGTTCGAGCAACTATAGTAGATCCGGAGCTCGGGGAAGTCTAAGAACGGATCCAAATCAAGAGCTAGAAATTGCTACAATTGTGATCGCCTAGGTCACTTCAAAGGAGATTGCCCAAATCCAAGGAAGGGCAAAGGTGAAAGCAGTGGCCAGAAGAATGACGACAACACAACTGCTATGGTGTAAAACATTGATAATGTGGTCCTCTTTATAAATGAGGAGAGGAATGCATGCACTTGTCAGGTCCAGAGTCGGAATGGGTGGTTGATACAGCAGCATCTTACCATGCCACACCGGTAAGTGATCTTTTTTGCAGATATGTAGTATGTGATTTCGGCACTGTGAGAATGGGTAACACAAGTTACTCAAAGATTGTGGGGATTGTTGACATTTGTATCAAGACAAATGTTGGACGTACATTAGTTCTAAAGGGCGTGCGGCATGTACCTGATTTGCGGATAAACTTGATCTCGGGAATTGCTTTAGATCGAGATGGATACGGGAACTATTTTGCAAATCAAAAGTGGAGACTCACCAATGGATCATTGGTAATTGCAAAGGGAGTTGCTCGTGGCACGTTGTACAGGACAAATGCAGAAATATGCCAATGTGAATTGAATGCGGTACAAGATAAGATTTTTGCATATGTGTGTCACAAAAGAATGGGTCATATGAGCGAGAAGGGTTTGCAGATTCTTGCCAAGAAATCACTCATTTCTTATGCCAATGGTACAACGGTAAAACCTTGTCACTACTGTTTATTTGGTAAGCAACATAAAGTTTCATTTCAGACATCGTCTGAAAGAAAATTGAATATACTTGATTTGGTATATTCTGATGTTTGTGGTCTAATGGAAATTGAATCGATGGACGGTAATAAATATTTTGTTACTTTTATTGATGATGCTTCACGAAAATTATGGGTTTATATTTTGCAAACCAATACCAGGTATTTCAAGTTTTTCAGAAGTTTCATGCTCTAGTGGAAAGGGAGACAGGCCAAAAGCTAAAGCGTCTCTGAAGTGACAATGGAGGTGAGTACACTTCAAGGGAATTTGAAGAGTATTGTTCAAGTCATGGGATCGTACATGAAAATACAGTTTCTGAAATCCCACAACACAATGGCGTAGCCGAGAGGATGAACTGCACCATTGTTGAGAAGGTGAGAAGCATGCTCAGAATGGCTAAACTGCCTAAGTCATTATGGGATGAAGCAGTTCAGATAGCCTGTTACCTAAACAATAGGAGTTCATTAGTTTCATTGGAGTTTGACATCCCAGAGAGAGTTTGGACCAACAAGGAAGTGTCCTACTCACATCTAAAGATGTTCGGTTGCAGAGCTTTTGCACATGTACCAAAGGAGCAGAGAACAATGCTGGATGATAAATCTGTTTCGTGCATATTCATCGGATATGGAGATGAAGAGTTAGGGTACAAATTGTGGGATCCTATAAAGAAGAAGGTCATTAGAAGCAGAGATATAATCTTCCGAGAAAGTGAAGTTGGAGCTATAGATGATCAATCAGAGAAGACAAAGAATGGTATAATCCCTAACCTTGTTACCATTCCTTCTTCTTCTAAGTATCCCACAAGTGCAGAAAGTACGACCGACGAGGTTGCCGAGCAGGGGGAGCAACATGATGAGGTTATTGAGCAGGAGGAGCAACTTGATGATGGTGTCAAGCAAGTGGAGCACCCCACTCAGGAAGAAGAACAACCTCAACCTCTGAGGAGATCAGAGAGGCCAAGGGTAGATTCATGTAGGTACCCTTCCACAGAGTATGTCCTCATCAATGATGAAGGGGAGCCAGAAAGTCTGAAGGAGATGCTGTCCCATATAGAAAAGAACTAGTGGATGAAAGCCATGCAAGAAGACATGGAATCTCTACAGAAAAATGGTACGTACAAGCTGGTTGAACTTCCAAAGGGTAAAAGACCACTCAAATGCAAATGGGTCTTTAAACTCAAGAAAGATAAAAATGGTAAGCTGGTCAGATACAAAGCTCGATTGGTAGTAAAAGGCTTCGAGTAGAAGAAATGTATTGATTTTGATGAAATTTTCTCACTTGTTGTCAAAATGACTTCTATTCGAACAATCTTGAGCTTAGCATCTAGCCTAGATCTTGAAGTGGAGCAGTTGGACGTGAAATCTGTATTTCTTCACGGAGATTTGGAAGAGGAGATCTTGGAGCAGCCAGAAGGATTTGAAGCAGCTGAAAGGAAACACATGGTATGCAACCTAAATAAGAGTCTTTATGGGTTGAAGCAGTCATCAAGGCAATGGTACAAGAAATTTGACTCATTCATGAAAAGTCAAACTTACATAAAGACATATTCTGATCCATGTGTATACTTCAAAAGATTTTCTGACAACAACTTTATTATTGTGTTGTTGTATGTGGATGACATGTTGATTGTAGGTAAAAACAAGAGGTTGATCGCAAAGTTGAAGGGATTGATATGAAGGACTTGGGCCCAGCACAATAAATTCTAGGTATGAAGATAGATCGAGAGAGAACAAGCAGAAAGTTATGGATGTCTCAGGAGAAGTACATTGAACGTGTACTAGAACGATTCAACATGAAGAATGTTAAGCCAGTCAGCACACCTCTTGTTAGTCATCTGAAGTTAAGCAAGAAGATGTGTCCTACAACAATGGAGGAAAAGGAAAGCATGACCAAAGTTCCTTATTCCTCTGCCGTTGGAAGTTTCATGTATTCAATGGTATGCACTAGACCTGATATTGGTCACGTAGTTGGTGTTGTCAGTAGGTTTTTTGAAATCCTGGAAAAGAACATTGGGAAGCAGTCAAGTGGATTCTCAAGTACCTGAGAGGTACCACAGCAGATTGTTTGAGCTTTGAAGGATCTGATTCAATCTTGAAGGGCTATACAGATGCTGATATGGCAGGTGACATTGATAACAGAAAATCTACTACTGGATAATTATTTACATTTTCAGGGGGAGCTATATCATGTCAATCAAGGTTGCAGAAGTGTGTCGCACTACTATCTACAGCTGAAGCAGAGTATATTTCCGCTACTGAAGCTGGCAAGGAGATGATATGGTTGAAACGGTTCCTTCACGATCTTGGATTGCATCAGAAGGAGTATGTCGTCTATTGTGACAGTCAAAGTGCAATAGACCTTAGCAAGAACTCCATGTACCATGCAAGGACCAAACACATCGATGTGAGATATCACTGGATTTTAGAAATGGTAGAGAATGAATCTCTAAAAGTCTTAAAGATTTCTACAAGTGAGAATCCCGCAGATTTGATGACTAAGGTAGTACCAAGAGACAAGTTCGAATTGTGCAAAGAACTTGTCGACATGCACTCAAGCTAGAAGTCTAGTGTTACCTCCTTCAGGTGAATGGGTCTGGAAGGGGAGATTGATGGAGCCACACCCATTAATAGAAAAAAAGAAAAGAAAGGGAATCTAATGATGGCAAGAGAAAGTTTTAGAGTTGGCATTCAATTTGCACTGCAAATTGCATAGTGCAAGTTGTAAAGTGAGATCCAATCTTCCGATTGGTTAATTGGGACAGTCATCCCCTCTATATAAGGAGAGCTTTAACTCTCATTTTATACACCAATCTCAGAAGAAAAATATACCTGAGAGTTAGAAAGAAATAATAAGATTTCACAGACAGGGTATAAGAAAATAATCTGTGAGAAAAATAAAGAGTGAGTGATATAGTAGTGAGGTGAGAATATCAAAAGAGGGTTATTTTTTTGAGTGTTGTAGTGGTCTTTGGAGTATTTTACTCGGACCTACAAAGTGTAAAATTTCTTGCTATAGTGATATCAGTTGCTCATCTCGGTGCCGTGGTTTTTCCTTTATTCAAAAAGGTTTTTCACGTAAAAATTCTTGATGCCGTTGTCACTCTTTTATTCTTGTTAATTACCGTACATTGGTGCTACGTTATTAGTCCGCTTTTATTTCCGTAAATATTATTTTTATGGGGGTTTATTCCCAACATATCAGCTCCTAGCACGAATATATTCTCCAGGTTTGTCATTTCTGAATCAGCTATTGAAGGGCGATAAGAT